ATAATTAATTATTGAAAATTGGGTTGTTACAATCACTCCCTTAGGTTTAGGCAAGTTTTTTTTTAATTAACTTTAGGAATTACCCCTTGTTTGTTAACCAATCCACATTACAACCTCGAAAAGCCCTTGTGATTCTTGCCTTTGTATATTCAGTGTGAATTTTTAGATGAATTCATAATTTAGTCTTTTGTTTTCAAGTTTGTTGGATGAGTGACAAATTCTCACCTTTGTGTGTTTTTCATCCCTCGATGAATTTTTGCTAGGTGTGATTCATGATTTAGCTTGTGTTGTTTTAAATTGTTTGACATGATTTTTGTACCTAAAATTTGTTTCGTTTTCATGTTTTCATTGTACCTAAAATTTATTTGAACCATACATTTGTTTTACGTTTTAAAAAACCCGTTGATTCGTGATTCTTGGATTATCGTCTTTTGTTTCTTTAAGTTGTTTGACTTTATTTGAGGATAAACAATGTTTTAAGTTGGGGAGAGTTTGATAAGTTCCAAAATTTCGTGTTTTGAGTAGTAGTTTTGCAGCACTTATCGATTCATTTGTATTGAATTCTTTGAATAAAACCCCACTTTGTTTGTAAAAGTGTATATTTAGTGTACACTAGTATTTTTGTGTAAATATCATTGAGTTTAATTATTCTTATCTCATTTTTGTAGGTATTCAAGCATTGATATTTATTCATTATTAGATAGAGCATTGAATAAGCTTTCTGATGCTTCTGACCGGATCTCAAACGGAGTTACGGTTTGAAAGTTTTGAAGAAAAAAATATGCTGAATTTTTCTGTTACTGTCAGCTCTCATCCCGAGCTCACCGGGTGATGCAGAAGTTCCAGAAGCAATAGAAAACACCTCATCTGCTCACCGGGCGAACCGTTACTTTGCTGGACGAATTAGTCTGGGAAGAAACACATTAAAAAGGGTAAAAACACATTTTTTTTAGGTTATATTTTGGGGTATTTGTTCCCAATTCATCAAGCCATCATTTTTTAGTAGATTTAGCTTAGGAACAACACATGGGGTGTATACCTTGATGATCCAGAGTCGAATCCACTTTAATCGGAGTTGACAAACCATGAGATTTGTGTTATTCTTCTCTCTTCTCTTTGTACCCTCTATTTGTTGGGGTTTTGTATTTAAATTTATCTTGATTGTATGTATATTTATGGATCTTTGTATAAAATCTCTTTTACAACTTTTTATCAAAGTTTATCTTTGATTTTTTACTTAATGAGTTTGGATTACTCTAGACATATACGGTTCGAACTCGGTCTAAGATGAACACTTGTTAGATTCTAAACTCTAGACAGAGATTTAGTTCTAATATTCACGTGGGTATCAGTTCTTAATGCTCCGTGTTGTTAAGTTGCATGAGACATTAATGATGAGACGATATAGTTGATCTCTCGACTTTTCATTAGACATAACCTATGTTGTGAGCGATATGTGATGATATTGACGAGTGATTTAGGTTGCGTGCATTTGATCCATATATTTTTTAGTACATGATGGGTAGAACAAAATACAACTCCTGACGAGTTTTCTCATTTCTTAAGAATGTATTTATTTTCTTATTTTATGTTTTTCCTTTTGCATTTTTATCCCAAACCATTTAAACCCAAACTCAATAACATATAAATTGTCGAACGACAGTTCAATAACACTGATCTCTGTGGACATGATAATTTCCCGGATAAATACTTCCAAAAGCTTTTTCTGTTTGCCGCTTTACCTCACCAATAATTGCATATTGCTTTAAATTTAGTCTTCCATCAGAGGACCAAACATATTAAGATAGATTGTCGCTTTGTCATAGAGAAGATTGAATCAGGTGACATCGTCATAAGCTTTGTCAACTTTAATGATCAATTGGAAAATGTGTTTACAAAATCCCTACGAAGCCCCAGAACTAATTATATATGTAAGAAGTTTGGTGCATTTGACTTATATGGTCAAGCTTGAGGAGGAGTGTTAGATATTTGTAAATATATATAGTGTTAAAAATGTTTGTATATAGAACAGTCCCACATCGACTATATCATGTAATTAGATGTAATCTCTTTATATATTATAATGTCTTCGTAGTGCTTTGTATAACACACAGTTTAATCTAAACGTCTCTTAGTCTCGCTTGTCTCAACAGTGCAAATGTCGACATCCTAATTGTTGTCTACGTCTTATATGTAAGTATCTTTTTTATCTCAGCAATTGATTGAACAAGGTCTCCAAGACTGTTGACTCTTTGCATTTAACCCAGATTGAAAAAATTAAGAATAGTTACAAAAAAAATAATTTTAGTCTAATTAAAGGAAATGAAAAAATTAATATAAAAGATAATCCTTAACAAAGCCAAAAACTTGATATGCCGCAAGTGTATGGTAGGTATATTCATGAAATAAAATTGATCGTTCCAATGAGACTATGATTTATTACCAATTATTTCTTTTTTTTAATTGACTATAAATAAGTGATATTTATTGCTTAAGTTATTTTTATAGATTTGAAATTAAAAATGAAAAATTTTTAGGATTACAATTTCTTATCTATAAAAAAAACTTTGTAAAACTTTCGCCCCTACTTTGTTTTATCAAAATTATGCTTTTACAGAACTAATAAATAAATGTGGATTGCATTTTCTTTCGAACAATATAATTGTATCTTAAATCACTAAATCACTTAATTTCATGGTTGATTCATTGACTAAACCCGTTAAGAGACGTTATTTGTAAAACAGAGCTTTCTCAAATAATCTAAACTATTTTCAAATGTTTGTTTATTTGTCTAATTTTTCTGTGACGGATATCAACCTTTCTCTTTCAAATCCATCGATTGATATCTAATATTGCATTTAATTTCATTGGGGAGTTTGTAAGAGCATCTCCAACCGTGAACACATTTTTGGGTTCTTTGTGGGACTTATTAAGTCACGTCAGCTTGAAGCAACTTAACTAGTTTTTCAATCCAATAGTGCAACTCTGAAGAACTCATATTGGGTACCACAACTTTACTTTATATATTAATATTTTATTCATATTAAATTTTATATCACTTAAAATAATAATTTTAATTTTTTACAGAAAATTATTTCAGTCTACTATATAGCCCAACGGGTATATAGTGTTATTTTAAGGAAAAATATTTCATTCTACTATATAAACTTTAAAAAAATTAGATTAAACTTAAAAAAATATTTCAATCTCTCCTTAGTTCATTTTAGTGTTTTAAATTAAACTTGATATAAAATAAAAAAAAAAATTAAACTTATAATTTAAAATGATAATTAAAATTAATCTCAAATACATGATATATAATTAAAAACAATAAAAATGAATAACATCACATAATTAATCAAACTTAAATTTCATCATCTTCATATCCAAAACGTTTCCAAATATTCGACTAGATCTCCTTGAAGTTTACGACGAACTTGTTTTTCTTGAATACTTGTTCTTCTTTGTAGTCTTGTTGCAAGATTCGGATGAGGACCGCTAAATGTTTGAGTTGTTGAATTATTGATATCCATATTATCATAAGAGTAATCAAAATTACCTCCATATGTATGTCGTTTGTCTTCCACAATCATGTTGTGCAATATGATGCAGGCATATATGGTATGCTTGAGAGTGTCCATGTGCCAGGCACGCGCTGGGCCACGTATAATTGTAAATTGAGATTGAAGCACTCCAAATGCTCGCTCCACATCTTTTCTATCCGATTCTTGAGTTGAGCAAATAATTTTTTCTTTTCTCCCTGTGGCATTGAAATAGTCTTGACAAATGTAGCCCACTCGGGATATATACCATCTGCTAAATAATACCCCATATTATATGGTGTTCCATTGATTGTATATTGCACATTGGGAGCACGTCCTTCCAAAATATCGTTAAACACGTTAGATTGGTTTAGCACATTAATGTCATTGTTTGAACCTGCAATACCAAAAAAAGCATGCCAAATCCATAAGTCTTGTGATGCCACTGCTTCAAGCATGATTGTGGGCTTACCATGATCACCTCGATAAAATTGTCCTTTCCATGCAACAAGACAATTTTTCCATACCCAATGCATACAATCGATGGAACCCAACATACCTGGAAAGCCACGTGACTCTCCCATATGTAAAAGATGTTCAATATCAGTGTTGTTAGGCTTTCTCAAATACTCAGCGCCAAATACAACATTGACACCTTTTAACAAATCTTTCTAAGCACTCAATTGAAGTGCTTTCACCGATTCAAACATATTCATCTACAAGGTCAGCAGGAGACCCATACGCCAACATACAAACAGCAGATGTACATTTCTGTAATGGTGAAAGACCCATTTTACCTGTTGCATCGACCCTCATTTGGAAATATTCATCATGATTTCCAAGGGCATCTACAATTCGAATAAATACATGCCTATGCATTCTGAACCTTCTTCGGAATTGAACATCTGTGTACATTGGGTTTTTCGAGAAGTAGTCATTGAATAATTGATTGTTCCCTTCTTCACGACCTCGATCGACCGTTGTTCTTCTCTTTGGCCTAGAGGAACTTCCAGATAGACGTTCATTTTGAAGTTGTTGTTCTTCATCACTGTCGTCCATAAATTCTTCTTCAACCAACTCCCAAAATTCATGATCGTAATTATCTATATTGTCTGAATCCATTTAGTGAGTAAATAATGAGAGAAAAATGAGAAGAGTAAGATGAGAATGAGAGAACAATGACATAAGTGGTATTATATATAATGGCTAGTTTGAATAACGGCTAATTTGAATAATGGCTAGTTTAAATTAAAGTGGTAGTTTGAATAACGGATAATTTAAATTAAAATGGTACTAATGACCATTTTACATAGGTGTTGATAAATTAAAGTGGTACTAATGACCATTTTACATAGGTGTTGATAAATTAAAGTGATACTAATGACCATTTTACATAAGTGATACTAACTACATTCCATATATTTTTTTCATCTTATTACAATATTTTTCATGAATATCTCATTGACTATCATTCATAGTAGAAGTGTCTTTCATCATCACTTGGACTACCCTTAATTCTAGCTCGTCCTCCTTAGCTTGCGCAAGTCTGTCCATTGTTATTGCTCTTTTATTCTTTGCATCTTGCGTTGCATTTGGAATTTCTGATGCCTTACCCTTCCTTTTTGCTGCTTTTTGTCCCATTGGACGCTCCATTGGTGATGATGAGTTAAACTCATAACTTGAAGTTGTATTTGGGTTCTCCGATGATGCCCCACTAGCATAAGTCTTTGTTATTTTTGCAGAACTTCCAATCGATTCTTCGATGATGCGCCGTTTAACTTCATCTTTTAATAATCGCCATGCATACTCAAGATTAAGTGATGTACCTTGATCCTGAGCAAAAATAGCATGTGCATCTGCCATGACATCGGTCTCGGATGTCCCACTTTTCTTTCATTTAAGAGCAGTTTTGTAACACCCAACAAATTTTTGAACCATGCCATTTATTCTATGCCATCGACATTTTAATTGTCCCCCTAACTTTTCCCGCAATTCCCCACGATATTGGTTATAACTAGCAACAATTCTTAACCAAAAACTCTCAGCCTTTTGATCAACTCCCACAATTGGATCCTTTGAAACATTGAGCCATGATTGGATAAGTAGTATATCCTCTTTCCTTGTAAATTGCTCTCGAGATCTTTTTTTAACGACAACCCTTTCTTCTTTTTCAGTACCAACTTGAGTAGAAAATGGTGGAACTTGAGTAGAGAATTTCATACTATTAGAATTCATTTGAGGTATAGACTACATATTTGGATTGTTTGGTGACGGAAGAAATATGGCGGGGTTTGTTGGCACCGGTGGAATTTGAGAATTTTGAGGATTAGGATTTTGAGAATTTTGCATTGAAAAAAGCTTGTTGATAATGAAAATGATTAGGATCCATTTGGCCTAAACAATTGTAATTTGAAGTAAAAAGATGAAATTTTGAGTTAAATATTTTGTAAGAAAATGCTAATGAGAAAAAATTGTTGAAAAAAAATTAAAAGTATAGGAATAAAATGATGAAATTGTGAGAGAGAAATTTCAAATTGAAGAGAAAATAAAAGTGAGAGAAATTTGTGTTGGTAAATTTTTGAAAACCAAAATTATATTTATAATAAAAAATAAAATTTTAAAAATAAAATAAAAAAATAACTAGCCGTTGAAACTTAAACGGCTAGTTTCTATTATATTTATTATATTTTAATATATTGTTTTATTATATTTATGATACTATGTTTTCACTTTTCAACGGTAACAAAATTTAACTTTTAATATTTTTTTATTCCATTGCAACGTTGCAGTTTGAAGCCACGGTTGACCAGCTGGCACTTGAAAAATGAATCATTTTCTTGAAAACCTGCGTACAGGTGACGAACTAGGTAGAAATTCTACCGCTGGAGATGGTCTAAAATGCTTAGAGATTCGAACATAAGCTTATCTCATTAAAACATATTTTAAGGACTAAGATATTTTATAAGAAATATGTTATTTATACAATCCTCACAATCCTAAAATTATGGAAATCTTCTCACTCATGGCAATAATAAACACAGACATAATATGCTTAAATAGTTGTAGAAGTAAAATAGAGATATGATAAAATAGTAAATCAATAAAAACATGGAATTGAAATTCAATAGTATATTACAAGAGTAGAGCAAAGAATTACAAGATTCATAAAAAGAATTATTTTCCAATAGTTTTATGTGTACTTGAACAAAGGCTAAGCATGCCTATTTATACTAATGTTAATTTAAGTCCATTTATCCCTCAATAACCACTAATAGGTGGGCTTTATACACAATAGTTTCAAAAGGAAATTGAAAGTTTGTAATCGATAACAGAAAGTAAAACAGACAAAACTGAAGAAAGACAAGAAGTTTGAAAGCATTATAATTGTATTATTTCTCGATTTCTTTGGGATGTTTAAATATCTTTCATGCATAATCTAAATCTCTTGAATATATGTCTTAAACCTTCATTCTTATTCATAATCCTTAATACAACAAAAAGATAGTAAGATGATAATATAACCAAATGAAATAGATAATAAAATGACATAATTAGACAACTAATAACAATAAGAACTAGACTTTTGAAGGTTAGAAAAACACAAGAAGGGGGTTCAGTTATGTTGGCCTTTTCAAAAAATTTCTGCTACTGCTTCTGATTAATCTTAATTAGAGTATGAACATGTTGTTAAGAGTCTAACTTCACGGTTTAATTCACATGTTTGTGTTATCCAAGGGACGATATTATGGGAACTTCTGTTTTAACAGATTGTGTTATTTTTGTAAAAAGGATCTTTGAACCTTTTTAGCAAACTTTGTATTTTGTTTCTATTATTGTGCATGAATTTATGCCAATGATTGGAAGCTATTTCCTGGTGATTTGTGCTTCAAGAAGCCCAAGCCCAAGTGGACAGAAGGTTATTTAAAGAGAAAACCTAACTCTTTTATAACTGGTACATCACGTGAAGCTTGAAGCATAAGGATTAGTCGTAGTTTGGAAGGTCTTTAGGGTTTAGTGTGTGTTATTTATATGTCACTCATGTACCTTCTGATGTATTAAGGCCGACTGATTGTTAATTGTTAATTGTCTACTCTAAAACTTTTAAGCAAGAGTGTATTGTTTTTGGTTGAAACTTTTAAGCAAAACCAAGTATTATACTTGGAAGGGTTGGCACTTCTATTTTGGCTAGTTGTTGAATTGTCATTGGGAGTGTGATTGATTAGGAAGTGAGAGGGGGATTTCATATCTAGAGGGTGTCGAGGTAGAAGTTGCACAAGGTAGTGATTAGGCGAGAAGTTGTAAACTGGAGAGTTTAGCTTTGAACTAATACTATCATAGTGGATTTCCTTTCTAGGTTGGTAGCTCCCAGATGTAGGTGAGTTGCACTGAATTGGGTTAACAACTACTGGTGTTATTTTACTTTTCTATCATTTAAGTTTCTACATTTTTATTTGTGATCAAGATGTTTTGATCCCAGTGTTATGACATTTGTCTCGACATTTGGTATCTGCATGCCATAATTTCAATTGGCATCAGAGTAGGTCACCCTATTTTGTTTTTGGGTGAGCTCCGGGGAGTTTGTATTTTGTAACTATGGACAAGGAAGGAGGAGAAAATGTTAGCAACCCCCAGTCTTAAATGGCACTAATTATGACTATTAGAAGGCCCATATGGTGACTTTATTAAAATACATGGATAACAAAACTTGGAAGGCTATCATCAAGAGTTGGGAGCATCCTGTGGTTAAAGATAAAGATGGGAATGAGACCTTAAAGCTAGAAGAAATTTGAACCAAGGAGGAAGATGAAACTGCTCTTGGGAATTCCAAAGCCTTGAATGCCTTGTTCAATGGAGATGACAAGAACATGTTTAGGATAATCAACACTTGTATTGTGGCTAAGGATACTTGAGAAATTCTCAAGAAAACTCATGAAGGAACATCCAAGGTAAAGATGTCTAGACTTCAGCTACTCAATACCAAATTTGAAAATCTAAAGATGAGGGAAGATAAGAGTATTCATGACTTTCACATGAATGTTCTTGAAATAGCTAATGTGAGAAGAGAAGTTGGTGAAGAAGATTCTTAGGTCTTTTTCTAAGAAATTTGACATGAAAGTCACATCCATTGAAGAAGCCCAAAACATCAGCAGTATGAGAGTTGATGAACTAGTGGGGTCACTTCAAACTTTTGAATTGACCATGAATGATAGAGTTGAAGAGAAGAACAAAACCATTTTTTTGTATCTAATGTTGAAGATAAAGAGAGTCAAGCTAACCTGGATACTGATAAGGGACTGTCAAATACCATTGTTTTACTTGGGAAGCAATTCAATAGAATTCTAAAGAAAATGGACAGAAAAGGAAGACCAGGTGTTAAGGACATTACATCTGACATCAGGAATAACTATGATTTTCAAAAGGATACCAAAACTGAAGAGAAGTCATATCAAAGTAAAGGGATTTAGTGTTATGAGTGTGAAGGTTTTGGTCACATTAGGCCAGAATGTCTCAACTATCTCAAGAAGCAGAAAAGGGGTTTATTGTTTCTTGGTCTAATGATGATTAGTTAGAAGATGAATCCAACACAGAGATTGTTGAACCTGTTACTGCTCTCTCTGGAAGATGGGATGATAAAGTAGAAGCTTGTGATGAAAATGATCTCTATAAAGATCTGGATGTGTTCTACAAGGAAATCTGTGACAGGTGTGAAGAACTGCAGAAGACAAAGGAAAATTAGAAAAAGGTCATAGCTGAATTGGAGAATAAGAAGAAGGAACTCTTAGGTGGTGTCTCTCATCTTTAAAGTGATATAACCCTCTTAAACTCCAAGCTCAATAACATGACAGATTCCTTGAGAAGAATGAAAAAAACTGTTGATCTTATATAGGATACTGGAGATGCAGAAGTTCATTATCACCCTAATAATAAACAAAGGAGAATGTCTAAAGAAAAGTTTTTTCCTTTTGAAAGGAAGAAGATAGTCACAATGTCTAACCACATGTTACAACATTCTGGCAGACATAATGAACCTCCAAATAATTACCAATTTTGTTGGAGATGTCATTATTGTGGAGAGTATGGTCATATAAAGTCGTTCTATTATAAATTGTATGGAAATCAAATATCCTCAATTCATTCCAAGGATAATCAAGTTAGCAAAAAGAGAAGTGTTAAACATATGGGTGTTAACCTTATAGCTCACACTTTCTTGAGAGCCTAAACTAGAAAAGACTGGTACTTTGACAGTGGATGTTCTAGACATACGATAGGGGTTCAGAAGTTGTTAATGGATATTAGGTCTCTTCCCGCAGGTGCTGTCAGATTTAGTGGCAGTGCTAAAGGGGAAATTAAAGGAGTTGGTAAATTGGTGGGTGTTGGATCACCTAGTTTGGAAGATGTTCTTCTTATGAAAGGACTAACGGTTAATCTCGTCAGCATTACTCAACTGTACGATCATGGTTTGTTATTCATTTTCTCTAAGTCATAATGTTTAGTCAAAGATGAAAAAAATGTTGTTATGATAAAGGATATAAGGGCTAATGACAACTGCTATCTTTGGGAACCTTAGATAAATTCTTACTTTTCCACATGTCCAAAAACCCAAGAGGATAAAGTGAAGTTGATGCTATGGCACCAAAAACTTGGACATCATCATCCCAAAAGAATGAAGGAAATCATATCTGTAGGAGCCATTAAAGGAGTTCCAGATCTAAAGGTTGATGAATGGAAAATCTATGGTGAGTGTGAAGTTAGGAAGCAAACCCTGATGTCACGCCCAATGTTACACCATCAGACTACTTCAAGAGTACTGGAACTTCTCCATATGGGAGTTATGAGACCTATGCAGACAAAAAGCCTGGGTGGAAAGAAGTATGTCTATGTGGTTATGGATGATTTCTCAAGGTTTACATGGGTAAACATTCTTAAAGAAAAATTAGACATCTTTGAAGCTTTTAAAGATTTATGTCAAAGTGTTCAAAAGGAGAAAAAGATTAGAATTGTCAAAATTAAAAGCTATCATGACAAGAAGTTTGAGAATTCCCAATTCACTGAATTATGTGAGTCTGAAGACATCAGTTATAATTTTTCTTCTTAGCTAGATGGAATTTTTGACCAAAAGACCTTGGATATACAAGAATCAGCTAGAGTCAGGCTTTGTGATAAGCAAGTACAAAGTAACTTTTGGTTTGAAGCTATGAACACTACATGCTATATTTATAATAGGGTCACCTTGT